CAAATTTAATTTTAAGAAAGTTTGCAGTTGACAACTTTTTTCTAGCTCCACCCAGTGGGACAGTTCTATCTCGAACAGTTCTGATTCGGGACAGTTCTGATTCAGGAAAGTTCTGATTAAGCATACCGCCGCCAAAAGTTTTCTATTTTTGAATTCCCACCAAATTTCTCAATTTTTGATTTCCCGCCAGAATTTAGCAATTTTTGAATTCCCACCAAAATTTTTTTACAATTTTCGAATTCCCGAAAAAGTTTTTCAATTTTTGAAATCCCGTCAAAATTTTTCAATTTTTGAATTCCCACCAAAATTTTTCAATTTTCGAATTCCCACCAAACGTTTTCTGTATTTTTGAATTCTCGCCAAAAATATTCAATTTTTGAATTCCCTCCAAAACTCCGAACTAAGGATGATGCTTCAAAAATGATGCAAAATCCCACTTCACCCACCTGAAAAACGCCGAACACGCCCGACAACTCATCACTCCAAAATGGTAGCCATGCCCATTTTGTCCACATACCAGACAGGAATCTTTTATGGATACTTGGAGTCTTGGTCGCATAATTGTCGAGGAAAAGGTGAAACAAGAAACTCAGACTGATAAAAACCAATGAAACAAGGGAAAAACGTTATCAAAAGAAGTTTCAGGTAACAGATAATACGCATAACGTTATTTATTTAGTCTTCAAAACATATATATAGGACGATGTACCGATCGATATGAAGTTTTATTCAAAAAAAAAAACAAAAATCCCTAATAAATATCTTTAAACATATCCGGCTCCGAAAACTCCACATGAAAAATATCAAAAGTCCTTGCGATCGCCTTTTTCTCCTTCCTCTCAAATATCCCTCGCATCACTGCATTGTTCACCTTCATCATTTTCAAAATTCGATCTGAATACCTTCCCACATTCATCTCCCTTGTATAATAATTATGTAGGTCATCAGCGATCAATTGCAGGTATTTTTCAGCGATTTTTGATAAGTCTTCATCTAGCTCCTTGGCAGCATAGGAAAATGAAATTTGAGCCAGCATATAATTGAGCTCAACGTCAGTTGGCTCTAGCTCTAGGATGTATTGAATGGGAACAAAAGCTGACCAGTCACCGACTCCTTCTATGTAGCTGGAAAAAATTCTGTCTATCGAAATGTTTGTCCAGAAAAACTCACTACGCTATTTGCTCCACACTATAACTAGTAAGCCAGTGTATATCCAATTCCATTTTTTTCAAATCTAGTTTCCAATCATCCGCAAGAAAAATCGATGTGCCATCCCATTTTGGCGCCTTTTTATTTTTCAGATACATCGCTGTCCTTCCCAATTTCTCAGAGCGATTCCACACGTACCAAATGGTTTTCAGGAATTTTAGCTGAAATATTTTCTATTTTTCAGTGAGAAATTTCAAACTATAATGGTTTTTATACCTTCTGCTCCTCCGTCAACTCGTGAAACTCATCGAAATGAGTCAACCATTTGGAGACTGCCAACAGATCATACTCCCAAAAACTCATCGTTTCTTTCAGCCCGATTTTTGTGATTTCTCGAAAATCTCCATCTTCGGAATTGGTGAATTTATCAAAATTGATAGCGGTTGTGAGTTTTCTCAAGCGGTTTTGTCCAGGAGCCCTTGGGATTTTGTTTTCGGAGCATGTCAGGATTTTTGTGGCTTTTTTGAGGAGATCCGATAGATCTATAAAGGTAGTTTTGGAGGTGGAAGCTGCTTCAGGGTCACAGAGAATCAGGAATTGAGGGCGTCCCAGGTACGTGGATAGGGATGGAGTGATTTGTTTCGAGGTGCTGATGGGGTCACGGTCGAATTGGAAATCTGGAAAAAAGGTTGGGGAGTTATGAGAGACACCCTAGAAAACTAAGCAAAAAAAAGGAAATGTCCTCTGATGGGTTCGAGCCCGGGGCTGTTCTGGTGGGCGCCAGCAGCGCTACCGACTGCGCTATGCGGCAGCGCTACACGGCAAAGGTAGGGGGAAACGCGCCGACCGTTCACGTGGCGCAGCCGGTAGCGCATTTGATGATCAGCCGACAGACCGCGGGTTCAAACCCACCAGAGGCTAATCTTTTTGTTTTTTTTTTCATTAAAAAAACTCACTCCCAATATCCATCCCAACATCCTTGCACTTTTTCAATCGGCATTTCTTACAACAGGATCTCCCATTTGATATAATTTCACACTTCCCTCCACCTTTTTGGCACTTGATCACAAAATTTGCTCCAGCTGCTACTCTTCTGAAACAAACCCCTCACTTTTCAGCTGTTTTCAGATCAAGAACTCACCGAAAAAACGCTGCACACGCTCTACAAGTCACCGCTCCAAAGTGCGATCCGTGAGCCTTCTGACCACAGACTTGACAACTTTTTGTGGTCATTGGAGACAAGGAGCCTTCTTCAGAAGAAGACGATGTGGATGCTGCACAGTATTCCGGGGACGAAGTTGACATTTTTAGCGTAGAATTCGATATAAAACAGAATACTAAAGAATGAGAAAAGTTAACCACAAAACTAGAGATTTGTGTTGAGTGAAGACATAGAGAGAAGGGAAATAATGTGTGATTGGAGATAGTGCTTATCGGGAAGAGACTTAGAGAATGTGTGTTTTATGCCAGTGTCTCATAGGACACGAATTGGAGGAGAGAAAGGGAAAGGTAAGGGCGAGAATAGTACAGATGGCGGAGGGAAACGGTTTGGGAAGGTTCTATTTCATGTGGGTGGTCTAAGGAAACTGAACAAAAAAGCAAAAAAACAAATACCTCAGATGGGTTTGAACCAGGGGTCATTCTAACAGAAGACAAACGCACTACCAGCTGAGCTATGCAGTCTACCCCGCTTATCAAGTGAGAGCCTATTCCGCGAATATAAGAGGTTCACGCCTTCGTACAGGTCACTTGGCCTCCCATAACATCATTTATGTTCTAATCGAAAAATCAAAAGTCCTGAATGACCTTTCCAGATCTTATCTAGTTTTTCCGATAGAAAGGAACTAGACTAGACTCATCCTCACCCAAATACGAAAACTCATGGAGTTTTTTTCCAAAATTCACGTTCAGATAAAATGGATAAAGAATAAAGAATGATTCTGACCATGAGAATAATTATTGTTTAAAATGAATAGTCTGAACGGAAATTCTGACCCAGAATATCTTCATTGAACAATCTGGATCCATTAGGGCTATTATTCAAACTCCCCCCTTTGAAAGTCCAACGGAGCGCACATGCATTTTGGCGACCCCAGGGTGTCCAGTGCGCACCAGCATATGGCAATGTTTCTATCGATTTTCCTGTTGAATGTCTTCTTTCTATTTCCATTATTCCTACTAACCATTTTTCTATTTTTTTCAGCTTTTTATTGACTATTGGATTTTCAGAACTATGACGGAAGTCGTCGGAAGGAAGCCACTTCCAATTTGGCAAGAAACACCACTCAGACTGAAGAACAAGGTTGTAGAGCTATTGGATCTCAAGTCACAGTGAGTTTTGGAATAATTTTTGGAGAATTTCAACAAAAAAATATCAAAATGTCGATTTTGTTAAGTTCTACGCGTTTGAAAACTGAAAAAAAATCTTTGTCACAGCACCCTGTGCCGTATGTGCTTTTGGTCAGGGCTGTGCGAACACAAAATTCCGAAAAAATTCGAAAAAAATTTTTTTTCTCGAGAATTTCGGACCAAAAACATCTTTAAAAATTTTTTCGAATTTTTCAGGGCGTTAAAAATCGAAAAATGATTTTTCGGGATTTTTCGGGATTTTTCGATTTTTTTCCGAATTTTTTCGTTTTTTTTCAATGAAAAATGGGTGAAAAGGCGATAAAAACGAGTTTTTAAAAAGTTTTTCGGTTTCAAATGGCGAAAAAATTTTCGGAAAATGACCGAAAAACCCGAAAAAAAATAAATTTTTCGAAAATTTTTCGCACACCCCTGCTCCTGGTTGCTCTGAAAAGTTCTCAAACGCGTGGAACGTATCAAGAATCTATTACGGAATTAACCTGCTAGACAAATTTGCTCATGATAAACTCATGATTTTCCAGGGGAAACCTCCGCCAAGCCTCCAAATCGGATAAGGACATAGTGGATAGCTTGGAGAGGTTCTTTGAACACGTGACATTCGTTTACCAAAAAGTTGATGGCCTTTTCAAATATCATGAGCGAGGATTCATGACAATCAAGTACAGCGAGGGACGAGCTAAAGAATTTGCATCCCCGTGCCCTTGGACCTCTGTTGCAGATCGTTTTCTCAATCTTTGTAAAAATCCACGTCACACGGTTGGAGTGCTGTTTATTGAACTTATCAGTATCCCAAGATTAGTGGAAGCGATTCAAGAAAGACCAGTGACACCATTGAAAGTGATGCACTTGAAAATCGAATCAAGGAAAAAGGCAGAAGAGGAGTTGGACGAGAGCTTTTTTGAGTTCCTGAAATTCATTAAGCCAGGGGCGACGCTTAAATTTAAGACTGGTTCGATAACCTTGGAGCAACTAACTAAACTTTATGACATGGATCAATGGAAGATGAGTCGTGGATTGGATCTTTTACCGGATATGGATATTCCGAGCTTGGATGAGTTTCATCATTTCAATTCGTTGAGGTTAAGAATCCAGAAGATGAGTGTTGAAGATGCAAAGAAGCTTATTCAGGCAAATTTTTTCAGATTGGCTAGCGTTTTTTGAGTTTTTTGTTGCAGGCTTTTATCGACAAACCTGCTAGAACCTACAAGAATCAGACTACGTTCTTCCGGATTTTCACCAAAGAATTCGTTGATCCCGCGGCAATTCTAAGCAGCTATGATGATAAGTTGAAGCCGCTTACTACCATGGAAAGGTATGTTTTTTATTAGACTCATGTAATACGTCACTGTGCGCTCCATTGATGACCAGTGTCGGCCCCGTTGGAAAACTAGTCCTCCACGGTGAATTTCGTTCTGGGGGACTAGTTTTCCAACGGGGCCAACACCCGGCATCAATGGAGCGCACAGTGACGTGCTATATGAGGCTAATAAAGGAAAGTGGAATTCAAAAAAATAAAATATCTGGAATTTTGACAGTAGGCTCCTCTGGTGGGTTTGAACTTACTGTCCGTTTGGCAGGACGTCACATTCGTTACCGGCTGCGCTAAGCTTTATGATTTCAGACCCACCAGAGAAACCTATCGGCGTAAACTATATCTACTTTCCAGGGAAAACTATTACGATCAAATCCGAGTCCAAAAATTCCCGATGACCAATTCGGATTACGTGTTCTTGGTGAAAGCTGCTGGGAAGTTTTTTACTGGATCGGTTTGTCGGGAGAATGCACTTGAAGAAGATTTTGGAGAAGTGTCTTATATTTCCAATTTTTAATTAACATAATTGACACGTATTTTCTCTTATTTCCGCTGTGAACATTGCTTTTTTCTCGTGTTATTTGCATAATTTTCTCTTTCAAAATTTGCTGTCATACGGCCACTCGCATAATTTATTTGTAAATAAACAATTTGTGCAGAATCAAACCGTTCTGAAAAGTGGAAATCCAAAAAATTTTATTCGAATTTACCTCCTTCCAATTTTTCCAACTGTTCAACAGAGCGCATTTACACCGCGCAGCTGCGCTGTGTCTGTGTCTATTCTTTTTCTCCCTTCTCTTTTCGATTTTTTCCGTTGATTTTCCTCTTTTCCCTAACATCTTTTTCTTCTTCTTGTGATTTTTTCAGCTTTTCAACCTCAAAAATTCAGATTTCCTCAACAAAAAAATAATGGAATTCGATATCCCAAAGGCCCGCCCAATTTGGCAGGAATTACCCGAGCATTTTAAAATAAACGTGATCAAAATGTTGCCGTACGTTTCGAGGTGAGATTTTTCATTGGAAAATTTTCAGGTAGCCTTCCAGGCACGGCTCACGTTGGCTCCAACCTGTTCAAAAATCTGAACAATTTACCTTAAGACCGAAAAAAAATGCAAGAAGCGCATTTTTCACAAAAAAAATTCTGAAAAAAAGGTGTCAAAATCAAGATTGAGGGCGGCACTTTCTTATTGAACAGTATCTAAAAAGAATCAATGGAAAATAATAGAGAAAAAATATTCCAGATGCAAGCTCCGAATGTGCTCCCAAGCCGACAAGGAAACCGTTGACAAAACTGAAATGAGAATAAAAACAATCACACTAAAATGTCAAACCAATTTCCGAGTCAACATCAAAATCCGACCAGCACTACCAGACGACGATATATTTTTCGAAAGGGATTTCTTCGCCACTTCCTCTTCTCTGGTTCGAATTTTCTCAAACCCTATCATCAAAGTTCGAAGGCTCATTATGGAATTCATTCTGATCCCGGAGCTGGTACTAGAATTGATGCGAGCCAATTTGAAGAATATCAAGGTAGATCAAATATTTATGAAGAATCTTTGCCATGGAGACGGCCGGTCTGGGTTGAAAGACTCATTTTTGGATTTGCTATCCCATTTGGAAGTGAAGACGATGATTGTTTCGGGGAGGTGTTTACCAAAGAATTTCGAGAAGCTGGTGGCTATGGACCAGTGGAAAAAAGCTAAAGGAGTCTATTTTGCAAATGAAAATCAATTTGAAATTCGACACTTTTTGCATCTCAATTCGCTGAGGTTGTGGTTGAAGAGGTTGAGCATTGAAGAAGCAAACGTCTTGATTGAGGTGAGCAAATGAAAAAAAAGCCGTTTTTGAAAATCTCATTTTTCAGAATTTCATCAACAAGGAGTCATTTGAGCACCGAAGCACATTCTTCCAAATTAACACTGCACAAAAAATGGAACCTGATGTTATTCTTCCAGGTTGTGACAATTATTGGAAGAAGGAGCTAGTTGATATGAAGTAGGTTATTTCTATGAAAAAGAAAAAATGGCAGATACCTCTGATGGGGTTGTCAGGAAAAAAAAACAAAAAAAAATCGCCTCTGATGGGTTTGAACCCGGGACTGGTCGGCTGATCACCAAATGCGCTACCGCTTGCATGGCGCAGTGGTTAGCGCGTTTGGTGATCAGCCAAAGCACGGCACCAGATAAAGCCCACCAGATGCACCAGCGCTCTAATTTCAGATAACTTTTCAAAAGGAATAACTCTTTTTTTCCAGTGAAAACAACTACGAGCTTATTCGTGTACAAAACTTCAAAATGGCACATTCTGAAGATCTTATCTTTGTTGTGAAGGCTACTGAAACAATGCTCGCCGGATCACTTTGCCGACCTTCATTTGTGCATGATGATTTTATGGATTCTCCTTTGATTTAGGACGGGTTGTTAGTAATTTATTTTTGTTCTTAACTTATTTTTTCTAGAAAAACAAAATTTAACTCATATTTTTTTTATGTTTCCAAAAGTTAGTACAATTTTTTGTCATAATAAATGTTTTGAAATGAGCTTACTCGAAAAGTATGTAGACTGGCGCCACGTACCATCAGAGACTTTTGGGAATACACTGGAATTTATTATTGTTCTTAAATAAAGAAATTCACCTTTTCGAACAAATCAACCTTAAAAAATACAAAACTAAAATTATTGCCGACGTGACTTTTATCAAAAATACGTTGACTTTGAGTTATTGGTGCTTCCAGTTATCAGTGATCTTTAAGTGTCATGGTCGGAAACATTTTGGTCTAATTGATCGGAAATTTTAGATGATTAATTATTGATGATAATGGAACATGATGATTAATAGAAGTGCAGAATTTTGGAAAACGAGTTAGATTCAAAATTGGTCATACTTTGTCAGGCTACAATCAACATAGTTTTTCATGGATAATTTTTTTGCTCACTTCGTCCCGACAATTTTTTTTGGTCAGACACGCCTGTGTGTACCGTGATCTGACTCAAACTCATTC